AGAGAACATGGCTGTGTTATATTCAGAGCAAGCCAGGTGGGTTGCAGAAGATCCCTGTTGGAGAGTAGTAATCTAATGAAGAAAATTAGCAAACAAACACAATTGAAACAGACTCAGACACCACGAGTGGACTTGTGGTTGCCAGAGGGAAGAGGAGAGGGGAACTGGGTGAAAGAGGTGAAAAAATTGAGAAGTACAGATTGGTAGTTACACATGGTCACAGGGATGTAAAGTACAGCATAGGGAATATAGTCAATAATATTGTAATAACCATGTATGGTGCCAGGTGGGTACTGGGAATATGGGGGGAGGGGGGGAATGTCTGTCTCTAACCACTATGCTGCATACCTGAAACCAATACAAAATAATATTGAAAGTAAACTGTTATTGATAAATTAAAGTAAAAAAATAAAGAAATAAAATTTGGAGGACCCTTAGGCCAAAGGCCTTATCTTGGAGATAAGGAAGACAGGAAAGGATTATGACATGTTTTTAAAAAGTTATGTTTTAATTAGATATATTGGTTTATTTTATGGCATATATGTTAAAGAGGAAGACAAGATAGATATTTCAGAAAATGTTATGATAATGCCAAAGAAGAAATAAAGGCTGGGTTAAGATGGAAACCATGGGAATGAAAGGAAGGGACAAAAACAAAAGCTAGATAATGAGAAAGGATAAGATTTTGATGTCTGGCTAATTGGGAGATGAAGTAGAGGCAAGAAACAATGACAAGTCTGTGATAGGGAAAACGATAATACTCTTGACAGACTTAAAGAAATCTGGAGGGGAAGCTGGTTTGGGATGACAATAATTAGACTCCACGAGGCAAGCATGGCCACAAGGCAGTGCCAACGGTTCACATCCAGCATCACTACCCGAAAGGAAATAGTTCCATTTGTGAGAGTGCATGAATTTTATAACAGAATATAAAGAGAGTGGAGCCGAAGGCCGAGTCTTAGTGATTTTCTGTGATCAAGAGATGAGAGGAGGAGAGTCAGCTGAGTGTCACAGAATCCAAGGAGAATGCGTTTTGAGTTTGCAGGACGAAATTTTACAGAGAGGTGACAAGAAGAATGCCGAGGGAGAATGTGAGATCTGAAAATTTCTGGTCTAGACATTTAGGCGTCAGGTTATTTTAAGCATTGGGCATGCTTATACGTTTGAGACTTTCACATTGAACTATTTTCCTCTCTTCATCATTTTGGTAGATTTCTTCTTGCCTTTCACACACATTGTAGGAGCTATTCTGTAACCCTTTAATAATTCCCAAACTCCCTGTGCTGCTAATCTGGACAATACATCTATGCTATAAAAATAATAGGCTGCTGTGAGAATGAAATGAAGAGAGACTCAATAAAAATTAGTTCTAACATTTTAAACCTTAAGGCATCTCTATGTTTTGTATCTCTAAACCACCTGAAAGTTTCTTTGGGACAAATATTTTTTGGGGGGACAAAAAGTTTATTTGGGACAAATTGTTTTGGTGTTTTCCCATGAGCACTTAGCTCAGCATCAGGATACATGAAATTAAAAGAGGTTTGAGCGCCTCTTTGAGAGCCTTCATGGTTTTATGAAGAAACTTTGATTCTTAACTTGGAGGATCCTGCAATTATTGTGCTTATTAGATTAAATATACACCATAAACCCAGAACTTCAAAAGTGGAAAAGAAATACTGGTTTTCTCCATTCCTCCCAATGGTTAATGCAATTCTCTGTTCTCTTTGTCTACCCAAAGAAAGCGCGCCAGAATGAAGGCCATGTGAGTTGTCCCATTTTGCTATTTAAATGATATCTTTATCACTTCTGAAAAGAACAGCCCCAATATTCAGCCAAGTCTCTTAGGAACAAGTTAAATGGCCTCCTGCACTCCTCTCTTGATAAAGTTTGTGTGTCTTTTATACTTCTTCATGAAAAGAAAATTTACTGCATGCAAACCAGGCCAGCATGATTTTTCAGCCATTTAATTTAGAAGTGAATTATTCTCCTGAATAGGCCCATTCTTGAATACAAGGCAATCTTTCATGTGTTTCCCAAATAAGCACTCTCCATGCCTCTACCTGAGTTTCCACCAGTGTCATTTAATGAAACAAAATGTACTTTTTCCTAAAAGAGGTTTCATGCTCTCCAATATGTCACCTCCCTATTACAGTTCCTGCTCTGACTTCCTTTTATCTAAGTAGTAAATCTACAATTTGTGAAACTTGTTCCCAAACTTTAAGGCTGGCTCTCTGTTCTCTTTGGCATAGAAATTACGTAGGTTTTCTTTGACCCCAAATCGTTTTTCCAGTGAAGAGATTTGGGACTAAGAATATTTATTATATTATAAACAAAGTTCTGTCCAGAAGTTAGAATATGACATTACAAATCTATTGCTTATTTCATCAACCATTTTCTATAACATTGAGGGAAATATTTAAAATGTTAAGTTAAATGAGTAATATATTTCATCTCTGCCTCATGGTGATGATTGTGTGTGGAAATATTTATATGATATTGGTGGTTTTGGTAGATCTCTTAATAATGACAAAGTGAAACTTTAAAAGATATCAGTGTCAAAATTAGAGACAAAGGGTTAGTCAATCTCTAAGTGGTTTTCAAGTTAGAATTCTTAATAAGGCAATGAAAACAATACATGAGCAAACCACTTCTTAAAAAAATATGCTAAGTATAAAGAAAATTATATAGTTCAGAGATTATGAAACACTATCATCTTCTACAAGAGAGACAAACAAACAAAAATGTTGACTTTGGCAAATGCCTTTGCTGATAAGAGCCAAGTAAGAAATTGGTTGAATCAGTTCTTGACCTGTGATAAGTCCTAGAACTGCAGAAGAAAAACCATAACATAGACGGATTCTCAAAGAAATCACCCTAAAGCCTTTGTAGTGTGAAATTTGTTATTGATAAGATCAGAGTATTGGCTGTCCAGAGAAGTCCATCTCAAGCCTAAATGCATGATGTTGAATGGTCATGCCAACTCCCTGATATTGAATACAGTGGGTTCCATGCTTCTCAGCCTCCTTAATGTGGCCATACTCAAAAGCTACAACAGGAGACCCAAATGCTCTATGCAGTGATTTTCAACCAGTGTGCCACAACACACTGGTATGCTGAAAGAATTTTTAAAACATGCAATATCTATTTAGTCAGAGGCACTGACCTCTTTCCCCTAGAATTTGTGCAACTTGTTCCCAAACTTTAAGGCTGGCTCTGTTCTCTTTGGCATAGAAGTTAGGTTTTCTTTTACCCCAAACATTATCAGTAAAGTGTAAAGGGAAGTGTAGCTGGGAGAAGTAATTTATGATACTATTTTATTTATGTCATATAAAAAGATGACAATAGCCTTCACAATAGCTATCTGGTGTGAATAAATTAAAATTATATCCTTTTTTGCCAGGTTGGCAAAAAATATATTTTTTGGTGTGCCGCAGAATTTTAGTAGTTTATGTGTTATGATATGAGAAAGGTTGAAAATCACTGCTCTAACGGAGTTGTTTCTGGACTCTGAGTGAAATTCTTTCAGTTCTGCATTCTTTGAACATCATCAATAGTTTCTGGAATAGACATTCAGAAGCGACTTTAATAGTGAGTGAAGGGTTGGGGTGGGCTAGAAGGGATCAATGCGGGGAGCAAGGGGACATATGTAAAAACTTTCAAGAATAAATATTTTTTAAGTGAGTATTGTTTTCTTGAAGCACACTTTCAAAGAGACATGCAAGAGTTTTAAATGAGATTGTTATGTGAGCACAGCCACACTAAATAGAAGTCCAAGAAGAATATTTCATCAATGACCAGATGGGTACATGTTTAATGTTTGCTTTTAAATAAATGTATTTATTTCACTAAAAAATATATGGAACTTCATGTAAAATAATTTAAAAATAGAGAGAAGGAAAAAAAAGTTATTTATCATACACTATCATTGTTTTAACCTTTATCTAATTTTCCATCCCTTTTCTTATTAACAAATTAAATGATTTTTATAAATTACTGGGTACAAATATACACTGGAATACTACTCAGCCATAAGAAAAAATGAAATACTTCCATTTGCAACAATATGGATTCCGCTTGAGAATATCATGCTAAGTGAAATAAGTCAGATGGAAAAGGACAAGAGCCATATGATTTCACTCATGTGTGATATAAAACAGAAAGCGACAAATGAACAGACAAAACAAAAAGCTCACAGACACAAACAACAGTATGAAGGTTACCAGAGGGGAAGGGGGCTGAGGGGAGAGTGAAGAAGGTTAAAAAGGACAGATATATGGTCACTTTGGGTGGTGAGCACAGAAGTAATATACAGTGATGTATTTATAGAATCATACACTTGAAACTCATATAATCTTATTAATAAATGTCACCCCATTAGTTTTTAAAACTTACTGAAATTATGTTTTTATAATTGTAATTTTAAATATACCAGCCATATAAACATAGATTTAATTTTGAATGTGATAAAGCTAGAGTATATATAATTATGGAGCAGCAAATGATAATTTATTAGAAGGTATTGGAAACAATATAACCACTGAAATGCTTTTTCCCCCCCAGAGTGTTTGTACTCCATCCATGCAATCCTTTTCCATTGTTATATGTACTGTTAATACAAATGTTTAGAATAAGTCATGGCACATGGTATGCATACAAGAACATTTGTTGTATCATTGTCAGTAGTTATTATTGTACCTGGAAATATAAATAATCCAAAGTTATTAAATATTAGTGCATCCAGCACTCAACCTGTTCATAAAACCAACGAAAATATGTTTAGGAACAAAATGTTAAGTGATAAACATTATCAGTAAAGTGTAAGGGAAGTGTAGATGGGAGAAGTAATTCATGATACACAATTTTAAGTGGCTATGTGCTCCGAGATCCTGTAGAGAAAATGTCACTCTCCCTCAAGGGATGAGTTGAGAAATGCCTTCTCATTCTCTGTGGTTTCCATGGTGCTGACTGCCATGCCTTTTTTTTTTTTTTTTTTTTTGTAGGCAGAATACTTCTATGAATTCCTGTCCTTGCGCTCTCTGGATAAAGGCATCATGGCAGATCCAACCGTCAATGTCCCCCTGCTGGGAACAGTGCCGCACAAGGCCTCAGGTGGGTGGTCTCAAAATCATATATGGTATTAAGCAATGGAACTGAGACTAGAACCCAGGTTTTATGACTTTTAGAAAAATACAGATCACTTAATTTAACATGTTCAAATATTTTCTTCCAGTCTTTTTTCTATGAGCATATTTTTCATAGTTGCAGTAAAATCATAACTTTGGTTTTACATCAATACTTTTTTTTTCTTTTAACATTTTAACATAAGCATTTTCCAGTTTCATAGATTTTCCAAAAGTTGTTTTTTTTCTCATCTTTTTAAAAAAAATAAATTTTTATTGTTCATATTATTACAAATGTTCCTTCCCCCTACCCCCCATTGCTCTCCTCCACCAGGTTCCCCCTCCCCCCTTTTCCCACCCCCCATTGTCCTCATTCATAGGTGCACAGTTTATGTTCAGTCTCTTCCCACATCCCCCTCTCCCCATTTCCCCAAGAATCGTCAGTTCACTCCCCTTCTATACCTCTGATTCTATTATATTCAACAGTTAATATTGTTAATCAGATTTTTTTTAATTTCCTTGGTTTTTAGATTCACTTGTTGATAGTTACATATTTGTTGTTCATAATTTTTATCTTTATTTACTTTCTCTTCTGAGAGAACCCCCTTCAACAATTCATATAATTCTGGTTTGGTGATGATGAACTCCTTTAGCTTTTTTTTATTAGTGAAGCTCTTTATCTGACCTTCAATTCTGAGTGATAGCTTTGCTGGATAGATTATCTTTGGCTGTAGGTTCTTACTATTCATCACCTTGAATGTTTCTTGCCATTCCCATCTGGCTTGCATGGCTTCTGTTGTGAAATCAGCTGACAATCATATAGGTGCTCCTTTATAGGTAACTACCTTCTTTGCTCTTGCTACTTTTAATATTCTCTCTTTGTCTTTTGCTCTTGGAATTTTAATTATGATTTCTCTTGGTGTGGTCCTCTTTGAATTCCTTTTGTTTGGAGTTCTGTGCGCTTCCTGGACTTGTAAGTCTAATTCTTTCACTAGGTGGGGGAAGTTTTCTGTCACTATTTCTTTCAGTATGTTTTCGATATCTTGCTCTCTCTCTTCTTCTGGGACCCCCATAATTCTGATGTTGGTTCGCTTGAAGTTGTCCCAGAGGTTTCTTACATTATCTTCAATTTTCTGGATTCTCTTGCCTTCTAGCTTCTGTGGAGGAGTATCTTCTGGCTCTTTATGTTCCAAATCTTTGACTTGATTCTTGTGATCTTCCATTCTGTTTTTAGGACTCTGTATAATATTTTTTATATCAGACAATGTATTCTTTACTTCTTGTTGATCATTTCTTGTTGATCCCTTATCATTTCTTGTTGATCCCTTATCATTTCTTGTTGATCCCTTATCATTTCTTGTTGATTCCTTATTAATTCTAGTTGATCTCTTTTCATATACTCACTCATAGGTCTTATCGACCTTTTCTAGGAAATTCTTGAAAAACCTTATAAGCGTAGATTTGAACTCTATATCCAGTGGCTTTTTGTCCTCCATTTCTTTCGTTTGTGATCTATTTCGTTGTTGCATTTCGCAGCTACAGATGGGGCCCCAAAAGTTGTTTTTAATGCCCTTATAATATTCCATTTTATGAAACTGACGTTATTTATTTACTCATTCCTTTATTATGTGCTACTTAGATTGTTATCAGGGTCTGCATCTAGAAATATCACAATACACATCCTTTCTAAGTCGCAGTCACTGGGCAGGAGTTATGTTTTATTCACTGCAACTGCCAACACAGGGCCCAGCACAGAGTGGGCATTCAGAAAACACTCATTGATTAATGTGCGTGTCAAAATCTTGGTGCTCATCTCATTATTTTGGTAAAATAGATTCTTAGAAGTAGAATTATTATGTCAAAGGATATGAACTATGCACTTTTTAAAAGACTCTTAGAACAAATTGTCAAAATGCAATTACTTTCCACCAAGATTGCCCCCATTTGTACCCTGGCTAGCAGCGTGGGAGAGTGCCTGGCTTACTGCATGTAACCTCTCAACATGGGTTATTAATCATCTTAACTGCTTGGCTGACTTGAAAAAAGTGAAAAGTGGTTTCTCAGTGTTCTTTTAATTTGACTTTTAAAAATTCTTACTGAGGGAGAACATTTATTTTTATCTATTAGACAATTGTCTTATAGAGAATTTTTTTTAAAGAGTACAGTTTTTTTATTTTTTATTTTAAATATGTATTTTATTGATTTTGTACAGAGAGGAAGGGAGAGAGATAGAGAGTTAGAAACATTGATGAGAGAGAGTCATCGATCAGCTGCCTCTCGCACCCCCCCCACCGGGGATATGCCCACAACCAAGGTACATGCCCTTGACCGGAATCGAACCCGGGTCCCTTCAGTCCCCAAGCTGACGCTCTATCCATTGAGCCAAACCGGTTTCGGCCTAATAGACAATTTTACATCCTCATTTTTACACTGAAATGATAAGCGTTCTTATTGGTTTGCAAAGCTCCCTATATGCTAACTATATTTACCCTTTAATGCAATTCTTTTCTTTTTTACTGAATGTATTGGAGTGACATTGATTAATAAAATTATATAGGTTTCAGGTGTACAATTCTACAATACATCATCTGTATATTGTATTGTGTGTTCACCAACTCAAATCATGTCTCCTTTCATCACCATTTATCTCCCCTTTTCCCTCTGGTAATCACTATACTGTTATCTTTGTCTATGAGTTGTTTTTCTTAATCCCTTTACCTTTGTTCACCATGCCCCTTCCCTATGACTCCAGTCTGTTCTCTATCTATAAGTCTGTCTCTATTTTGTTTGTTAGTTGATTTAAATACTTTTTTTTTTTTTTATTTCGGAGAGGAAGAGAGAGGGGAGAGAGATAGAAATATCAATGATGAGAGAGAACCACTGATAGGCTGCCTCCTGCACAACCCACACTGGGGATCAAGCCTGCAACCCAGGCATGTGCCCTGGTGTGGAATCGAACTGTGACCTTTTGGTTCATAGATCGACACTCAACCACTGAGCAACACTGACCAGGCTGTTAGTTTATTTTGTTCATTTGATTCCATATATGAGTGAGATCATATGGCACTTGTCTTTCTCTGACTAGCTTATTTCGCTTAGCATAATCATCTCCAGGTTCCTCTATGCTGTCATAAAAAGATCCTTCTTTTTTTTTTTATGGCTGAGTAGTATCCCATTGTGTAAATATGTACTACAGCTTTTTTATCCATTCATCTACTGATGGACACTTGGATTCTTTCTATAGCATGGCTATTGTAAATAACACTACAATGAACATAGTAAGGGTGTGTATATTCTTTCAAATTAGTGCAATTCTTATTTAATATATTATTTTTATATTTTTTGAGGGAGGTAGAGTTTTCAGGGTTTTCAAAACTCTACGTGGTCAAACCTATCTTTTCTTTGTGATTTTTAAAATTACTTTTATGCTTGGAAATTAATTCTTCTAAAGATCAGGTGATAACTTGACATGCTTCTAATGTTTTATATAAATTTATTTTGGCAATTTATGAGGTAAGGCTGTCACCTGAATTATTTTTCTGAGTCATCAACTTTACCAATTTGAGATGTTGAATTCATGATATCCTCTTTATTTTATACTAGAGGTCCAGTGCACGAAATTCAGGCACAGGGTGTCCCCTCAGCTCAGCCTGAACACTCTCCAATCCAGGACCCCTTGGAGGATGTCTGATTGCCCGTTTAGGCCCAATCCCTGCCTGCCTGCCTGGTTGCCCCTAACTGCCTCCCCCACATGGCCTGTTTTCCCTTCACTGTCCCCCCCATGGCCTGATTGCCCCAACTGCCCCCTGATGCTGGCCTGGTTGTCCCCACTGCTCCCTCACCGGCCTGGTTGCCCCTCATGTTCCCCCCAACCCCCATAGTCCTGTTAGACTGTTCAGTCATTTGGTCATCCCTTACTAACTCCCCTGCCAGCCTGGTCAGAGCCAGCCATCTTGTGAGGTCGTGATGATCATTTTGCATATTACCTCTTTATTACATAGGATTAACTTCTTTTATACATAGGGGTTGTTTTAGAGCATAGTGTTTGTTCTATTGTAATACGGTATTATTTATAGTTTAATAATATTTTTTAAATAATTGATAACATAACCTCTTTTTTAATTACTCTTCTTCAAGAGAGATGTTAGACTTTTTCAGATGTCAAATGAGGATCTCATTAGGAGATAATTTAATTCAATTAAATAATTGGGAAACCCGTTTACAGTTATCTACTATTTCCAATGGCTCAGTATTGCCATATCCCAGCATAAGAGCTGGGGACTAATTTCCTGGCATAGTGCCAGTGTGAGTGTAGACAGGAAGAGTGAATTTGTGTTTCTCTTGGGTCATCCCAGTGCTGCAGTGTGACAAGCAGCCCACCCAAAGGATCTGCTTCCAGTCTAATGGGCTTGAGATTCTCAAAAGCCCATCTGAACGAATGTGGCCTTGGGTTCTGGAGATTCATTAGCCTGTGATATGCAGCTGCAGGGGCAGGGATAGCGCACCCCAGAGACAAGGATATCCTAATTCCACTCAAATGACATTTCTGGGGCTTTACTGTTTCATGGAGACACAGAAGACACTCTGGTCACCAGGTTCTGGAATATGGCCATGTCATGTGTCTTATATCATGTTATTTTAAATAGATCTTTTTATTGATTTCAGAGAGGAATAGGAGATAGAAACATCAATGATGATAATCATTGATTGGCTGCTTCCTGCACGTCCCCAACTGGGGATGGAGCCTACAACCCGGGCTTGTGCCCTGACTGGGAATCGAACCATGACCTCCTGGTTCATAGGGTAATGCTCAACCACTGAGCTACGCCAGCCAAGCCTAAAATGCATAATTACATTAGTTACACAGTTACACCTGCTCAATTCCAATAAGTCTTAATTTTTTGAATTTATAATTTATAATTTAATGCTTGAATCTTAATCATCCCAGCTTTATTCACTTTTTGTAGTAAAAAAAGCTTACTGAAATTC